TGTTTTTGTTTTTTGGGCGGGATACGTCGGGTCGGAATACATCAAAAAGCTTATTTTTTAAGTTGTAAAGCCACGTGGAATCGCATTCCACGTGGCGAATTTTTATTCGGTACCGCATGTAAGGGTTCATGCGGTGCACGTACCGAATAAAAATTCGTGGGGGTGGGGGTGGGGGTTGGGGAAGTCATTAATGGTCCTAAAAGATTTTAAATTTAAATGTATATGTTGATAGAGTTGCTATTGAGGGAATTGTCACGAGTTTTTTCTAATAAATATTTGTTCTTTAATAAGTAATTAGTTAAATAATTCTTAAATTAAGAATCAATTATTCTAGTAGATTAAGTTGTTTTTAATTTTTGTGATTCATATCTCAGGTTTGTTTACTTACGTTGAGCGAATTTAATCATAATTTTAATAAATATACCCTATTGTGGCACCAACACAATTTTAAAAAGTTATTTTTTAAAATTAATATATGTGCTTAGTGTTGGAAAAATATAATTTAGAGCAGGGAATCGAACCTGTATACCCGCATTTGAGAAGCATAAGCTTCAGTGTCTCGAGAACGGCGGAGTCATCATCAATGGCTAAAACCCTTAGTACAGCGGGGAAACCGTCGGGCATCATACTGTTAGAAATACAAAACTTGGAGATGCCAACCCTAGTTATGGCTTTCTCTTCCGTTCGAGAAAGCTCAGAGTTTTATGAGATGGAGAGCAGAAACAAGCCTGAAGAGAAGAGAAGCGGGATATACTTAGATATAGAAGGATTAACATAAATGCCACTCAACTTCTTCGTATTTACACATCCAACACACCGAAACTTCAATTTGTATCTGCGCATGAAAAGGTTTGATATAATTTTTAAAAAGTTAAAAGGGAGTTTTATGTAAATGTTCTTTTACTCCATGCTTGCTAATGAGGCTGGAAGTGGCCCTGCAGAGTATGCGGGGGCATCCAAGTCATTAACGGTCATTAGCGAACTTTCTCCGAAATCCAAGTCATTAACGGTCATTAGCGAACTTTCTCCAAATACTTTTTTTAGGAAATAAACATCAGCTTCGTCTTATCTAATTTTTTTTAAAAATTTTTTTAAATGTGAATCTGCCCGGAACAAAAATATATATTGTCGTTTTTAGTTTTTTTATTATTATTAATTTCTAATTTTACGGGCAAATATTAGATATGGCACATTTGAAATTTAAGGACAAGTTTGACCGAAGAGCGTCGTTTTGCTGCATATAATACCGAAAAAAGACATCCTGTTTGGCACCATCTTCAGATGTTGCTTCGGCCGCAACCGCATCTCTTACTTCTGATGGCGAAATTTTCACAACTTTGGCCCTCCGTTCGGATGTTCTGAAAATTGAAATGTCCAAAATAGCTTATATGAGCCGGTTAGATGTTTGCATCCTTCGGTATCATCGCTAATGCTCTTCTAGTGATTCCCTTAGGATGGATCAGCCGGCTATCGCTGCTGAATTTCTTCCCGAGACAAAGAACCCTAGTGATGAAGTGTTTTGTTGTTCATCGTCCAAATAAGGTGAGATTGAGACAACCATCATTGCCACCCACCAGTTCAGCCACTTCCAGAAGTTCTTACCTCCATTGGAAACTTCTGCTTCTACTCCATTGCCACTAGTATGATCGAGGAGATCATATTCATGTACCAGATTCAGCTTGTAAGTGTCGCAGTGGCATCAACAAACTAATTGTTCTTCTACTCGATGGATTTCTGATTGCTATGCCCACAGAGCTTTCAATTACCGTGATTAGTAGCTCTCACCGCAGCCATAAAATTGATATAAAAGTAAACAAAAAAAAATATTTTCTTTTCAAAATCTAGAAATATTGGGATATTTTTAATTTTTCTCTTAAAAAAGATAACGACAAATGATAATAATGAACTTTTGTTGTTAAAAAAACACTTTTTTTTTTTATTTAAACATCAGTATGGGCTTTAGGAACCATAAATATATACAATGGTTTCTTATGAAATTATTTTTAAAGCAGCTTTATGAAAGGAGAGACCCTACCAAACCAGGCCTATAATATATATTAAGGCTTTGTTTGAACAGCTCAGTTCCATTCCACAGAAACCTGAGAAATCGAAAAGGCTTGGTTTGGGTTTTCAATTTTTCTATATTTTTATCCCATGACAACGACATTTCTCTCAGTTTTAAATCATGAATAGGGTGCAACATTCTGGAATGTGTCTTCGAAAGGAAATTTTCTGAAAGACAAAGTGCGGTCAAACAAGGCCTAGCCTTGCACACGTTAGAACACCTATGTCAAGCCCTTGCCTCTCCTCCCTCGGCCTTCTCTGCTACCATCCACGTCTGTTTCATGTTCTTCCTCGGCTTATATTTTGAAATTTTCATCAATTAAATTTGCAGTTGTTCTCTTTTTCTTTGATGCTATGTAGTTTATGTTTCTTATTTTTCCCCAATTCAAATTAAAAAAAAAACCCAGTATTTCCAAAATTACAGCTGTTGTGTGTCCTAAAATTGTGTTCTTGTGTTTGTCGAATTCCATATTTTAATAGAGGACGATGCTTTCTGTTTCATCTTCTTCTCCAATTGTAAAAAAATGGATTTTTAAAATTATTTTTCCGGTTCTTTCCTACCCCTCTCAAGCAAATAAAAATTTGAATATGTAGGATTTGGAGCTACTCTGTATTTTGGGAATAGTGAAGCAACTAATTGATTGAATGCACACTGAGTTCTCTTGTCTTCTTGTTTGTCATGTCTCATCTTTTTGACTTAACTTACATACCACTTAATGCCTATATAGTTGCATATCCTACATGCAAAATTCAATTTTTACATATATGCCACATTTACTTCTATGATTATGAATATACAATTCATTTTTAACTTTGTAGATGTGCTTATATGTTGACAAACTTGGTGAATGTCTAAACTAATGTCTTTTATTTTATCATCATGGAAAAAAAAAATCTATTCAAACTCAGAGCCGTGTTAAATCGAAAGAAATGTGAAAGAAAAAACTAAATCAGATAGAGTTGTGTTTGGAATCATTTAATAATTTTGAAATTTCCTGTCAGATGACATAGAATATGTGAATAATAAAAGTGGAGAAACATCGTACTGATCAATTCAGTTGAAATCCTTGGCCGCTGTGGATGCCTGAAATGTTCTGGGCTTTAAATCTTCTTCATCTCTGGTGATCACTTCAGTTAAAGGTAACTTCCTTTTTGTTCCGCTTCTGTTATTTTTGCTATTACAATGCTTATATTGCCAAGAAACTATAGTGTTACCTCATTTCATTTTTATGTTCTACTCAAGTTGATTTCTACTGAGATGCAGTGGTTATGATATCCAGTTAATGATAATTTCTCTGATTTCTTGGTATGGACTAATCTTCCAAGGCAAAGTTTTCTCATTCTCAATCTTGCAAATGATGAGTCATCAAGGATGGCATGAAAGTTGTACAAATGAAGCATCCTTTTTCCCTTGTTTTGGACAACTCTATAAAGTAGATAGGTTGGGAAAACTCATGATCTTCTGCCCACTGGTAGCATTTGACTTCGCATTAAGCCTTTTAGAAGCATTTGTTCTTTTAATTGTTATTTTATTTTACTATATGATGATATTTACCATTTTTTATTTGCTTTCAACCATTGTTGTCTTAATAATTCAATATTATTCTGCTATAAAATATTTATATGGACATCATATATGTATTATTAAATCACTGAATTGAAAACACAACATTAGTTGTAGTTTTTGCTGACCATTGAAATCAAACAGCCGGAGTAAGATTTTACATGTATAAAACCTAAATTTTCAAATTTACTTGAATAACATTTTAATGTCAAGATTATATCATAAAAATTAATGAAAAATTTGATGTAATGTGACATATGAGTTTTATATGAATAAATATTGAAGTTTAGGTGTTGGATATGTAAATAAATAACAATTGTATGGTATGGATGCTAATCACCCAAAATAGGGAGATTTACAAAGATATGAAATCCTAAAATGTACACAATTAGATCCCAATGCAAGAAAAGACCATAATAATTTCAAGCCTAGTAATTTATGGATTGAATCTGCCTTGGGAGCATATTAGTGCTAAGTAAATAGGGGCTTCAAAATGCGTTTGTAATGAAATCATGTAATTTGAGTTTTGCAAATAACTTCTGAATGAGGTACTCTTCTTTGGTTTCTCTTTTTTGAAAAATTTAGCTGCCCTACAATGTAGCAAAAAAATTAGAGAATATCAATACAGTTTTGTACTGTCATGGATAGAAATAAGAAGGTTCGCATGCAACGAATGCATACATATTTACTTTAAATGATTCATAATGAGTTTCATATTCAACAAGATGCACAAGGTTAATATTCTAAAGTTTTTTTTTTAATTTGAATTTTACTAAAAAATTCATTATGATTCTATATTGTATCTTTAGAATAGTAGATTTATTTTAGTTAAAAATATTAAAACTAGAATCCGATTGCAATTTCATCATTTTAAGCGCATTTTTTTGTTGAATTTTATTCTTCTACTAGTGCAAAGTCGAACTCGAGTATGAATTGATTTATATTACAGTATTACTGATTGAATACAAAACATTATGCTTGTTCCATTTGCCATACTTATACAATATGTAGAAAGGGCATTAATTAGAAGAAATTCTCTTAAACTTTGGACTAATTAGTATGCAAATTGTTCACAAGCTACTTTTTTTATTAAATCACATGGGTGCTGGAAATTTGTTTTTGCTCTTTGCTTGATCCCATGAGCTTATAATATGGCTAATGGTATGTGTTGCCTCCAACTATCTAATATGAATACCACTCAATTCATAAGTATTTACATATCTAACATGAACTTAAAATTTAATGTGATATGAAAGACTTACATGGTATAGATATTAAAAAGCAAAGTTTAGCTTTTAAATATATGATTATGTTGGAACTAGGAGGTATGTATGTAAATGCCACATAAAAAAGAATAAGTAGAACTTAGAATAGATCATAAAAAAATAAAGCTTGCAGAACACTGCCATCATTCCAAATTTCCAAATAAAGAGATAAAATATTTCATCCAATTTTTCAGAGGCCAAACTGAATAAGCCTTTGAAATCCCAAGGAATATTGAACATATGTCATTGAACAAATCCTAAGATTACATTGAACCCAAGAAAGTTAATATGGAAGCTCCAAGAAAATGTATTTATACCTTTTCTTTTATATATATACCCAATTGTAATAGTTCAAACAATGCAAACTGCAGTTTAAATAAACTAAGATAAAATACAATATTTTTGGAGGAATGCATTAAAAAAACTATTTAATGTAGTTGCATTTCTTAATTAAATATTCTCATGTTATGCATTATGTTCTGCAAAGATTCTTTCATCATGCATAGGAAGGGTTGTAGGTAATCAAAGTTGACTGCATGGTGAAGCAAACTTGAAAACAACAAATGTGGGACTTGATCATCAATAACATAATGATGAAGTCATCAATGCCAAATCCAATTTCAACAAGGAATTGACTAACAAGTTCTTTGGTTTACTCCACCTCTTCTCCTTTTAGAGGACTATATATTGTATCACCCATGGCTTTAGAGACCATCTCCATCCTCCCATTTTGTGGATCAAATTCCACCATATCCTCTGTAGTGAAGGTAATTTTATTTGTCTATTTTCTGTCTGATTTGTTTGGTAACACCCTTCATAGCATTGCCCTTGTCTTGTGTTACCTTCAACATCTCTAATAGTCATAATTTATATAAATTAGTTTTTCATCAAAGTAAAAATATGATTCATACCTAGTTTTATGCTGATTTTTTAACAATATTCAACTTTAGAATATACTAAAACACACAATCAGTGATAATTATGCTGATTTTTTAACAATATTCAACTTTAGTATATACTAAAACACACAATCAGTGATAATAACATCAATTAGACAACTCACGGTGGAACAAGGTCAGTATTTCTATACATGATTGTGTAAGGAGGCACAAAGGTAGTCATAAGTAATTCATACTATTTAATCATACAATCCAATTATGCAATCATAAGAGAAATGTAGTTTTTATCACTTGATATTTACCGAACCAATTGATCTAATTAGGTTTAGTTTTAGATTTAGTGTTGTAATTTAATAGTAGTAGTTTATAAAAACTACGTTAATCAACATTCTAAACTAAGACCTATTAGTAGTATACTAAAACTTTTCTTAAAGAAGTCATTACCTCATTATCTTTGGAATCGACAATCCGAACTCAATAGAGCACTATATTTCTGAAACGATGTATATACTTGCGTGAGAAACCCCGGTGTGGAAGAATATCAAATTTTAAGAATTCAATGAAAATTGTTAGGGAGTGGATTAATTTTTCTAGAGTCACTACCAGAACTTACATAATTGTGATAATCGCTTAGATAGATTAGGTTGTTGCCCAGGTCTCCACCTTGCTAGCCTACATAAGATAGGAGATGGAGTTGAAGATGGGGTCAAAGTTCATTGCGATATTGCGTCATGCACGACAGAGAGCAAAGCTGTCAGTTGAGGATGATTCTGACAATGACAACGATGAGAGAATGTATTACGTGTAGAGACTTCTTATTTTCTTGTTTGCTTATTTAGGACAATTAATTCGAACGACATTACTTTTTTATGTACAAGTGTTCATTTTGGTTGGTTTAATGTAATGGTTTTCATTTATATTTATGGTTTTAGTGTTGATTACTACTGTGATATTTGTTTAATAGCTGCTTGGATTAGTATGTTGTGTCATGTGGAAATTATAGTATTAGGATTACAGGTGTGAAAATTTTAGTGTTGAAGAAGAATATTAATTTTTTTTCCGATGCTGCAGATTTTCAACAATTATCGTCCAACTTTCGACAGTTTTGTAGTTAAATCCGACGGCTAGCAATTATCGATTAATTGAAGATATTATTTTTGCTATTTTGTAGGATTTAATTTAGGTTGAATCCCGCTTAAATTCTGCCCAAATTCTGCTAAGGGTGTACACGAGTCGAGCTTGAGCTGCTCTCGGCACGAGCTTGAGCTTGATTATTTGATCGAGCTCAAGCTTGAGCTTTATTCTTCGAGTTTGAGATTGCCTATAGGCTGACTTGTTTGATATAAAAGTGAGAAGATAATATTAGTTCGAACTTCGATATAAAAGTGAGAAGATAATATTAGTTCGAACTAGTATTATAATAAAATGACAAATTGAATGAAAAATTAAGAAATTAATAATAAGAAATAATTTGTTATAAATAAAAAATAAAAAACTATTATTTTTTTAAATATTTTTTATAATTTAAAAATAAAATATTAAATTATTTATATTTTAAATCTATTTTATATTAATTATTTCTTAAAGGGACATCCCATAAGCTAAAAAATTGAGTCGGGGTTGGCGAGCTTGACTTGTTAGCTGATTGAGGTTCACGAGCCAAGCCACCGGTCGATTTACACCACTTTTCCGTTTCATTTAGTACCTAGAACAAAATTAAAAAGGAAGATTTACATGCATACTTCTCAATTCTTTTTTATTTACATATATAACACCTAATATATAGTATTTAGAGATTTAAATTTTTTACATATACTATACATGAGAAAATATATTTCATTTTAAAAAAATAAAAATGGTGATATTTTTGCGGTGATTTGAAATATATATATGTGGTTTAAATATAAATAATAAATTTTAGATTTTAGATATGTAAATACATAGAGATTGGGTGGTTTGTATGTAAATGCCCAATTAGAGAAAGAAAAGCAAAATGCTTGTCAGGGCTACAAACGAATTGATTTAACAAATTAATTTATCTTGTCTAATTTAGTTCCACATCAGTAAAAAATTAGTTAAGAGTTTTATTATAAATAGGATGACACCAGATTGCAAGGCTTAGGGTTTGTTTGGAGCAGCTTATTTGGTGCGGTGGCGTTTTGAAAACGCACCTGACCTGTTTGGGTAAACTTCGTTTTGGTAGCTTATGTGTTTTACACCACACATATCTAGGTGCGGTGAAAGCTTTTTAACTGTGGTCTGGTTTTTTCAAAAAAATAAAAATTAGAATAGATTATTTTTAATCAGCTTATCAACAGATTTTTCAAATTTGATGTGTATAGTAAGAACGCTCGAAATATAAATGAGAATTCTTTATTTATTTATTGGTATTGCTGACTATTATTTCTGAATAACTTAATTAACTATAAGTTATTATGATTTATAATTAATTAAAATTATTAATTAAAATTATTAATTAAAAAATAGAATAAATTTATTTTAAATTTTATTTAAATGAAAATTTTAATAAATGATAAGATTGAAATCTCTCCTCAATTCTTAACATTCTATGATTAAGGTTATCAAAATGGCTGATGTATATGAAGCGTCCTATTTATAGTTAGGATCAGGGATCACTATAAATAGCTAGCAACATGTATGTTAAGATTACTCATTAGAGAACCATTTTTTAACAAAAAAACTAGTAGATAATACTATTTCTTAAAATATTCAATGCAAAATACAAAGTTAATATAAAATGAATTAATTTCATGATTTTAATTTTTTAATCTTTATCAAGCAATCAATTAAGGATACTTAGCATTTGTTCTCTCATGCATAAATTTTTACAAAATAACTATTCTCATATCAAATAAAATCACTTTCCAGCACTCAAATGCAAGCACAAAATTTTAGCATCTAAATTAAAAAAATAAAAAAATGTTGCGATATATACCAGAATTTGATTTAAAAATAATTAATATACTCAGAAATACAATATAAGAATATCTACAAAAGCATTATAGAGCCACAAGTTTCAATAACAAAAAAAAAAAAATTTTAGATTGGCAGCCAAAAAAACACCAGATTTTGATTTTCTCTGCATCTTTATATAGAATTTACAAGTATAAGCTTCAATTAATATCATAAAATTTGACCATTTTGTTTAGAAATAACAAAAAAATCATAGATCTATATAAAGATGATTTGAAAATGGTCCACCAACTTGGGGCAGCAGAGGAGCAAGATCTTCCTGTGCTTAGTGAAATAAAAAAAGATAGTATATTAGAAAAAAAATATATTCAAAATCATGATATGAAGTAAATTTTGAAATTTTAAATACTTACATTTTAATATTGCGGCGAGCTCATTGAAACTATTGTTATCACTGAAATCATAGTTTAAGAACCTGTCGATGTCTGCTTGTTCCACAATAAGTTCAAGCTCTGTAACTAAATTAAGCTCAATATATCCTTCACTTGGCCAGAAAGTTTGAAAAATTTGTCATACAGGAACATGCTCGCAAGCATAAATATTGAGTTTGCTTGAGTAAAATTTTTCTTGTTGACTCAAAAGATGAGGGAATCATGCAGGGCGAACATTTGTAAGTATGATCATTAAGAGATTGGAAACTTAGAATATATGCAAGAGATTTTGACATACTATTATATAAATTGGCATCCAGTTTGTTAACAGTTTTTGGGAGAAAAGTTCCACCATAACATCCTACTCTAGTATCATTAAAAATTTGTTGACCAATCCTAATTGTATTAACTTTCAAACTCTTTCTGTACTTCTGCATAATACAAACAAATGTTTTTTAACATAATTATATTTATAAGAGTATGAATGAATGAAAGATTTTTGTCAAAAACGAGCAATAATCAACAATGAAAAAGAAGAACATATAAGTCCAGCATATTTATGTTTGTTTCATGAGCAAACCTGTAAATGACTGACAACGATTTCTCTAGTAAGTCCCGGAGTTGCCATCATATTAAGTATTTTTTTAGGGACTGCCTCTGATAATTAAAAATTCATATTTTAAGATCAAGAAAGAAATTTGAAGTGTATAAATAATATCAGACAAAAAATTATTTACTGTTTACACCAAGTTGGTTAACGACATCGATAAATCTAGTATGGAGCTCTGACGTCCAAGTAAATCGAGCTCTCTTTCGTGAGGGTAAGTCATCTTTAGACTCAATCTTAGCATCATCATTTCTGTCTCCTACAAGATATTTAGATTTTTTGACGAGTTCTGAAATCTTGTCATTTTTTGATCTTATTTCATTTGCATCTTTCTTTTCATTAAGATATCTTTTAACTGCATACCTCCAGATAAGTTTTAGTTCTTCCAGACGCACAGGTTTAACGAGATAGTCAACTGCCCCGTAGTTAATAGCATTCATGACTACTTCGAATTTAGAGTCAACAGATATCACTGCATATAAAATTAATCAAATTAAAAAAAAAAAAGTTAACAAAACTAGTTGATAAAAATTATTGAAATTTTGTTGTAGTTTGTTAAAGTACTGATTACAGGTAAGTTTATTTCATGCTGAACGTTCTCTAGCAGCTGAAATTCATCCATGTCAGACATATTGACATCAGTAATTTTTATATCATATTCATCTCCATTTGCACTCAACAATTCCAAAGCTTGACGTGCATGATCCCATACTGTGACTATAATGCATGAAATTGTTTTAATAATAAAAAAAACAATGTAGGAGTACTTCATATGAGAAAAAAATAGAATCGATTACTCACAAATGAAAATTTTATAATAAATATGCAACAATAGGCACTTGAAACAAAAACCAATTAAAAACTAGTTTTACAAACCAATATAAAATGTAACAGTAATTGTTTGTAAGAAAAAAATAGTGAATCCATATAACAAATAAAAAATTTGTTAACACAGTAGTAGACACTACATACAGTGTATAGATTTGAAATGTGTACACGAGATAAAGCACATTCTTATTTATTTATATATCATGATATTATTTTCTAAAAAAATAAGAATTTTCATTCCTACTCATTCAACCTAAACTTCTAAAAATTGTACTCCAGAAAGCCTACAACTGTTTAACCCAATCAAATGGACAATCTTATCTCCGTACTAAAAAAATTTTAGCGATAGTGAGAGTCGAATCAGAGTGATCAAGAAAAAAGTTGGCTGATCTATCTATCTATCTATCTATATATCGATATATATATATATATATATATAT